CATACACAAGTTTCAACAGCCAAATTGAACAAGAAGAAGAAAGGATATCGGAGGTCGAAGTTCAACTCAATGAAATAAAACGAAAAGGCAAGATTAGAGAAAAAAGGGTAAAAAGGAATGAACAAAGTCCTGAAGAAGTATGGGACTATGTGAAAAGACCTAATCTACGTTTGATAGGTGTACCAGAATGTGATGGAGAGAATGAATCCAAGCTGGAAATCGCTCTTAATGATATTATCCAGGAAAACGTCAATATTCAAGTCCAGGACATACAGTGAACACCACAAAAATATTCCTCAAGAAGGGGAACCCCAAGGCACATAATCATCAGATTAACCAGGGTTGAAAGGAAGGAGAAAATGCTGAGGCATATCAAGCCAAACTAAGATTTATAAGTGAAGGAAAAATAAAATTTTTGGCAAACAAGAAAGTACTCAGAGATTTCATAACCACCAGGCCTGCTTTACAAGAGCTCCTGAAAGAAGCACTAAACATAGAAAGAAACAAAGAGTACCCACCAATCCAAAAACATACCAAATGGTAAAGAGCATCAAAACAAACAAACAAAAAAAACTGCATCAGCTAACGGGCAAAACAGCCAGCCAGCATCAAAATGGCAGGATCAAATTCACACATAACAATATTAACCCTAAATGTAAATGGACTAAATGCCCCAATCAAAAGATACAGACTGACAAATTGGATAAAAAGCCAAAACCCATTGGTGTACTGTATCCAGGAAACCACTCTCACATCCAAGGATACACAAAGGCTCAAAATAAAGGGATGGAGGAAGATTTACCAAGCAAATGGAGAGCAAAACAAAGCAGGAGTTCCAATTCTCATCTCTGATAAAATAGACTTTAAGCCAAGAAAGATAAAAAGAGACCAAGAAGGACATTACATAATGGTAAAAGGATCAATGCAACAAGAAGAGCTAACAATCCTGAATATGTACGTACTCAATACAGGAGCACCCAGATAAATAAGACAAGTTCTTAACGACTTACAAACAGACTGAGACTCCCACACAATAATAGTGGGAGACATTAACACCCCATTGTCAATATTAGACAGATCAATGAGACAGAAAATTAACAAGGATATCCAGGACTTGAACTCAGACCGGGACCAAGCAAACCTAATAGACATTTACAGAACTCTCCACCCCAAATCCACAGAATATACATTCTTCTCTGCACCACATAGCACCTACTCTAATTTTGACCACATGATTGTAAGTAAATCAATCCTCAGCAAATGGGAAAGAACGGAAATAATAACAGTCTCTCAGACCACAGTGCAATCAAGTTAGAAGTCAGAATTGAGAAATTAACTCAGAACCACACAGCTTCATGGAAACTGAACAACTGGCTCTTGAATGTTGATTGGATAAACAATTAAATGAAGGCAGAAATAAAGATGTTCTTCGAAACAAGCGAGAACAAAGACACAACATACCAGAATCTCTGGGACACATTTAAAGCTGTCTCTAGAGGAAAATATATAGCAATAAATGCCCACATGAGAAGCAAGGAGAGATCTAAAATTGACACCCTATCAACAAAACTGAAAGAGCTAGAGGAGCAAGATCAAAAAAACTCAAAGTCTAGCAGAAGACAAGAAATAACTAACATCAGAGCAGAACTGAAGGGGATAGAGACAAAAAACACTTCAAGAAATCGATAAATACTGCAGCTGATTTTTTGAAAAGATCAACAAAATAGAAAGACCACTAGAGAGATTAATAAAAAAGAAATGAGAGAAAAATCAAATTGATACAATAAAAAACGATAAAGGGAATATCACCACAGATTCCAAAGAAATTCAAACCATCATCAGATATTATTATAAAGAACTCTATGCATGTAAACTATTAACCTGGAGGAAATGGATAAATTCCTCAACACTTGCATCCTCCGAAGCATAAACCAGAAAGAAGTGAAACTCTCAACATACCAACAACAAGGTCTGAAGTTGAGACAGCTATTAAAAGCCTACCACCCAAAAAAAGCCCAGGTTCAGATGCGTTCGCAATCGAATTCAACCAGACATATAAAGAGGAGCTGGTACCATTCCTTCTGAGACTATTCCAAACAATCCAAAAAGAGGGAATCCTCCCCAAATCATTAAATGACACCAACATCATCATGATACCAAAACCTGGCAGAGACTCAGCAAGAAAAGAAAATTTCAGGCCAATATCTGTGATGAACATAGATGAAAAAATCTTCAATAAAATACTGGCAAATCGATTGCAACAGCACATTAAAAAACATATCCACCATGATCAAGTAGGATTCATCCCAGGGATGCAAGGCTGGATCAACATAGGCAAGTCTATAAGCATAATTCACCACATAAACAGAAACAAAGACAAAAACCACATCATTATCTCAATTGATGCAGAGAAGCATTTGACAAAATTCGACAGCCCTTTATACTAAAAACCTTCAATAAACTAGGTATTGATGGAATGTATCTCAAAATAATAAAAGCTATTTATGACAAACCAACAGCCAATATTGTACTGAATGGACAAAAACAGGAAGCATTCCCTTTGAAATCTGGTACTAGACAAGGATGCCCCCTCTCACCACTCCTTTTCAATATAGTAGTGGAAGTTCTAGACAGAGTAATCAGGCAAGAAAAAGAAATAAAGGGTATTCAAATAGGAAAGGAGGAAGTCAAATTGTCTCTATTGGCCAACGACATGATTTTATATCTAGATGAACCCATCGTCTCAGCCCAAAATCTCCTGAAAGTGATAAGCAACTTCAGCAAAGCCTCAGCATAAAAAATCCATGTGGAAAAATCCCAAGCATTCCTATACACCAATAACAGACTTAAAGAGAGCCAAATCAAGAATGAACTGCCATTCACAATTGCCACAAAGAGAATAAAATACCTAGGAATACAACTCACAAGGAATGTAAAGGACCTCTTCAAGGAGAACTACAAACCACTGCTCAACGAAATAAGAGAGGTAATCAAAACAGCATGGTACTGGCACCAAAACAGAGATATAGACCAATGGAAGATAACAGAGGCCTCAGAGGCAACACAACGTATCTACAACCATCCGATCTTTGACAAACCTGACAAAAACAAGCAATAGGGAAAGGATTCCCTGTTCAGTAAACGGTGTTGGGAAAACTGGCTAGTCATATGCAGAAAGCAGAAACTGGACCCCTTCCTGACACCTTACACTAAAATTAACTCCCAATGGAGTAAAGACTTAAACATAAGACCTAATACCATAAAAACTCTAGAAGAAAATCTAGGCAAAACCATTCAGAACATAGGCGTAGGCAAGGACTTCATGATCAAAACACCAAAAGCATTGGCAAAAAAGCCAAAATAGACAAATAGGACCTAATCAAATTCCACAGCTTCTGCACGGCAAAAGAAATAGTCATTAGAATGAATCGGCAACCAACAGAATGGAAAAAAAATTTTGCAGCCTACCCATCTGACAACAGGCTGTTATCCAGAATCTAAAAAGAACTAAAACAGATTTACAAGAAAAAAACTAACAAGCCCATTCAAAAGTGGGCAAAGGATATGAACAGACACTTTACAAAAGAAGACATACATGAGGACAACAAACATATGAAAAAATGCTCATCATCACTGGTCATTAGAGAAATGCAAATCAAAACCACATTGAGATACCATCTCATGCCAGTTAGAATGGCGATAATTAAAAAGTCTGGAGACAACAGATGCTGGAGAGGATGTGGAGAAATAGGAACACTTTTACACTGTTGGTGGGAATGTAAATTAGTTCAACCATTTTGGAAGACAGTGTGGCGATTCCTCAAGGACCTAGAAATAAAAATTACATTCGACCCAGCAATCCCATTACTGGGTATATATATCCAAAGGATTATAAATCATTCTACTATTAAGACACATGCACAAGAATGTTCATTGCAGCACAGTTTACAATAGCAAAGACCTGGAACCAACCCAAATGCCCATCGATGATAGACTGGCCAGGGAAAATGTGGTAATATACACCATGGAATATTATGCAGGCATCAAAAATGATGAGTTCGTGTCCTTTGTAGGGACATGGATGTACCTGGAAACCATCATTCTCAGCAAACTGACACAAGACCAGAAAATCAAGCACCACATGTTCTCACTCATAGGTGGATATTGAACAATGAGAACACATGGACAGAGGGAGGGGAGCATCATACACTGGGGTCTGTTTGGGGGAAATAGGTCTGGGACAACGGGGGATGGGAATTTGGGGAGCGATAGCATGGGGATAAATGCCAGATATAGGTGATGGGGAGGAAGGCAGCAAATTACACTTCCATGTGTGTACCTATGCAACAATCTTGCATGTTCTTCACATGTATCCCAAAAACTAAAATTCAAAAAAATAAAAAAGAGGAGAATAGAATAAATGGCTGGAGACCGAGAAAAAATTGATGGTAAGAATCTGAAGTAAGTTATATATAGATTGTATTTTTTTAATGAAATAAAGTATGGGATTATTTACTTGAGTGTAAATGAGAGGAGGAGATCACAGGTTCACTTAAAAAGAAAAAAATTTAAAATCAGTGCTATAGAAAACGTTACATATAGAAAGAAAAGTTGTCTATGGAAACAGATTTTCAAGCAGCATTGGTGGTCCAGGTGAGATTTGAAACATGCATGTGTGACAGATGGCAGCAGAATCAGAAAGGCTGAGCTTAAAGTGATCTTAGTCTTTATACTCAAATTCACAAATGAATAACATTAAGATTCCCTGTTTCCATCCCAAAACAAGATCTCTCTTTGTATTTTCCCAATAAAATATTTTTACACAGCATCTTCCCAATTTGTGAAGCATGATATCCGCTTATGTAAGTATATAAAAGCTCTCTCATCAAAGTCCACAGTAATATTTTGCTTTAGGACAGAAAATCTACCTCTATGACACTAATAAAGAGAGAATTAATGTCAGGATAACAGTTGAAGGAAATAAAAATAACTAAACATACCTTTTGATCCCAGGTCCTGCCATGACTTTCAACATGGGGGTCAGGTCTTCAGCATAGCGGCACATTGGACCAGTGCACTGAAACAACTCCTGGACTCCCACAGCCAAGGGAAACTGCCCTTTGTTGGGAACCACACCTGAAAGGTTAAACACTCAGGTTGCTGATCAAAATAAGAAATAATCCCTGGATGTTCTACTTCATTATGGTGTTTAATCTATCTTAAATACTTTTTCTCCTTGTTAAAGCTTTTCCAAGTGTTCTTATTTTTCATTGCAGTAGTTTCACAATTTTACTAGCTTTTTTAAAGCAGTGAATTTTTTATCCCTAATAAAGTCCAACGAAGAATTCCAAAATAAAACATGCAAAACCACCAAAGCCACTCTAATAAAAACAGGGTCCCTACTCATTAGACTATTCTCTTTCTCTGGGGATGATTCTAAGGCCCTGCAGAGCCTATATGGATAAGGACTAGTTAGAATACAGATGGAAATCTATTTCCCTAGAGGATAAAGTCAAAATTCCATTAGCTTGTATACAAAGTTCTCTGCAACCTGATGCCTAAACAGAAGCCATGACAAAATGTTCCAATTTTCCACAAATAACAGGCTATTTTGATGTGCATTTATGGCTTTGCATATGTCATTTCCACTGCCTATAATACATTTCACGATTTAATATGCCAGACGGATAACAAGTTTTCAAGACTTAATTGAAACTATAAGACCTTTCTTGACCACCAACAATCCCTCAGCCCAATACTTTCTTAAGATATGAGCAACTTCAGCAAAGTCTCAGGATGCCAAATCAATGTGTAAAAATCACAAGCATTCCTATACACCAATAATAGTCAGAGAGAAAATTCATGAGTGAATTCCCATTGACAACTGCTACAAAGAGAATAAAATACCTAGAGATACAACTTACAAGGGATGTGAAGGACGTCTTTACGGAGAACTACAAACAACTGCTCAATAAAGTAAGAGAGGACACAAACAAATGGAAAAGCATTCCATGTTCATGGATGGAAAGAATCAATACCATGAAAATGGCCATACTGCCCAAAGTAATTTATAGATTTAATGCTATCCCCATCAAGCTACCATTGACTTTCTTCACAGCATTAGAAAAAAAGAAAAAAACTACTGTAAATTTCATACAGAACCAAAAAAGAGCCCAAATAGCCAAGGCAATCCTAAGCAAAAAGAACAAAGCTGGAGGCATCATGCTACCTGACTGCAAACTATACTACAAGGATACAGTAACCAAAACAGCATGGTATTTGTACCACAACAGATATATAGACCAACAGAAGAGAACAGAGGCCTCAGAAATAATGCCACACATGTACAATCATCTGATCTTTGTGAAACAAGCAATGCAGAAAGGATTCCCTATTTAATAACTGGTGTCGGGAAAACTGGCTAGCCACAGGAAGAAAACTGAAACTGAACCTCTTTTTTACACCTTGTACAAAAAGTAACTCAAGACGAATCAAAGACCTAAATGTAAGACCTAAAAAACATACAAATTCTAGAAGAAAACCTAGGCAATACTATTAGGGACATAGGCATGGGCCCAAGTGAACAGGCAACCTACAGAATGGGAGAAATTTTTTGCAGTCTATCCGTCTGACAAAGGGATAATGTCCATAATCTACTAGGAACTGAAACAAATTTACAAGAAAATACAAACAACCCCATCAAAAAGTGGGTGAAGAATATGAACAGACACTTCTCAAGAAAAGACATTTATGCAGCCAACAAACACGAAAAAAAAAAAACTCATGACCACTGGTCATTAGAAAAATGCAAATCAAAATCACAATGAGATATCATCTCACACCACTTAGAATGGCAATCATTAAAAAGACAGGAAACAACAGATGCTGGAGAGGATGTGGAGAAATAGGACTTCTTTTTCACTGTTGGTGGGAGTATAAATTAGTTCAATCATTCTGGAAGATAGTGAGGCTATTCCTCAAAGATCTAGAACTAGAAATACGATTTGACCCAGCAATCCCATTACTGGATATATACCCAAAGGATTATAAATCATTCTATTATAAAGACACACGCACATGTACGTTTATTGCAGCACAATAGCAAAGACTTGGACCCAACCCAAATACCCATGAATGATATACTGGATTAACAAGAAAAATAGAGAAAGAGCCAAAGAAGCTCAATAGGAAATGAAACAGAAGGCATTACAAGAAACACCAGAGAAATTAAAAATATCACATAAGGCTAGTATGAACACCTTTATGAGCATGAACTAGAAAACATAGAGGAGATGAAAAAAATCCTGGAAAGATACAACCCTCCCAGCTTAAATGAGGAAGAATTTGAAACACCAAACAGACCAATAACAAGGAGAGATTGAAATGACAGTAAAATATTAACCAAAAAAAAGTGTAGTACCAGATGGATTCACAATTGAATTCTACCAGACATCAAATAATTGGTACCAATTATATTGATGCTATTCCACAAGATAAAGATGGAAACCTCTCTACATTATTCTATGAAGCCACTACCACCTAATACCAAAAGCAGAAAATAACATAACAATGATAACAACAACAAAAAAACCTACAAACAAATATCCCTGATGAACATGGATGAAAAAATCCACAACTAAATACTAGATAAGTGGGTCAACAGGATATCAAAAACATAACCCACCATGATCAAGTGGGTTTCATACCAGTGATGCAGAGATCATTTAACAGACACGTGTCATTAAATGTATTACACCACATAAACAGAATTAAAAACAAAGTCACATGATAATGGATACAGAAAAGTATTAGACAAAATTCAGCATCCTTTCATGATTAAAACTCAGCAAAATCGACATACAAGGGACATACCTCAGTGTAATAGAAGCCATCTATGGGAAACCCACAGCCAACATAATTCTGAACTGGAAAAAGTAGAAAGCATTTCCTCTGAAAAGTGGAGCAAGACAAGGATGTCCACTCTCACCACTTTTCTTCAGCATAGTACTGGAAGTCCTAGCCAGAGCAATCAGACAGAAGGAGGGATAAAAGGGCATCCAAATTGGTAAAGAGAAAGTCAAATTGTCACTGTTTGCTGAAGATATGATTGTATACCTAGAAAACTTTAAAGACCCTTGCAAAAACCTTCTAGAACTGATAAATGAATTTAACAAAGTTTCAGGATACATAATTAATGTACACAAATCAGTAGCTCTGCTTTATATCAACAGCGACCAAGCTCAGTCAAATCAAAAACTCAATCCATTCTATAATAGCTGCAAAATAAATAAAATACTTAAGAATTAAAATATTGCTGAAAGAAATCATAGATGACACAAACAAATGGAAACACATCCCATTCTCATGGATGGGTAGAATCAATATTGTGAAAATGACAATACTGCCAAAGGCAGCCTACAAATATAATGCAGTCCCCATTAAAATACCACCATCAATCTTCACAAAACTAGAAGAAACATCCTAAAATTCATAAGAAACCAAAAAACAGTCCACATAGCCAAAACAAAGCTAAGCAAAAAGAACAAACCTAGAGGCAATGCATTATCTAATTTTAAACTATAGTATATGGCCATAGTAACCAAACAACATGATACTGCTTTAAAAATGGGCACATATACCATTGGAACATAATAAAGAACCCACAAATAAACCCAAATATTTACAGCCAACTGATCTTTGACAAAGAAAAAAACAGAAAGTGTGAAAAGGAAACCTTATTCAACAAATGGTGCTGGGATAATTGGCTAGTCTCATGTAGATGACGAAACAATCCTCATCGCTCGCTTTATACAAAAATCGACTCAAGGTAGATCAGAGACTTAAGTGTAAGACCTGAGACTATAAAAATTCTGGAAAATAATATTGGAAAAACCCTTTTAGACATTGGCTTAGGCAATGACTTCACAATTAAGAACCCAAAAGCAAATGCAATAAAAACAAAAATAAATAGGTGAGACTTAATGAAACTAAAGAGCTTCTGCATGGCAAAAAAAAAAACAAAAAACAGTCTGTAAACAGACAACTCACGGAATGGGAGAAAATCTCCACAATCTATACATCATCAAAAGACAAATATCCAAAATCCAGAAAGAACTCTAACAAATTAGCATGAATAAAACAATCCCATCAACGAATGAGGTAAGGACATGAATAGACAATTCTCAAAAGCAGATATACAAATGACCAATGAGCATATAAAAAATGCTCAACATTACTAATAATCAGGGAAATGCAAATCAAAACTACAATGAGATATCACTTACTCCCGCAAGAAATACCATAATTTAAAAAAAATTAAAAAAAAATAGATTTTAGTGTGGATCTAGTGAAAAGGGTACACTTCTCCACTGCTGTTGACTATGTAAACTAGTACAACCACTGTGGAAAACAGTGTGGAGATTCCTTAAAGACCTAAAAGTAGATTTACCATTTGATCCAACAATCCCACTCCTGGGTATCTACCTAGATGAAAATAAGTCATTATAAGAAAGAGATACTTGCACACATATGTTTGTAGCAGCACAATTTACAATTCCAAAAATATGGAACCAGCCCAAATGCCCACGAATCAGCAAGTGGATATACCATGATATACCATGGAATGCTATTCAGAAATAAAATATTGGCATTTACAGCAACCCTGAGGGAATTGGAGACCATTATTGCAAGTGAAGTAACTCGGGAATGAAAAACTAAGCATCGTATATTCTCACTCATAAGTGGAAGCTAAGCTATGAGGATGCAAAAGCATAATAATAATATAATGAACTTTTGGGGCTCAAGGGAAAGAATGAGAGAAAAGAGATGGATAAAAGTCTATATATTGGTACAGTGTATACTGCTAGGGTGATGGGTGCACCAAAATCTCAGAAATCACCACTAAAATACTTATTCACGTAACCAAAACACCACCTGTTCCCCACAAAAACTATTGCATTACAAAATTTTAAAAAATTAAAAGTGAGTTTTTTAATAGTAAGTTTTATGGTGAATATATTTTACTACAATAAAACTAATTAATTAGTTAAAAATTCTATTACTACTTTTGTTTGAGAAGAGAAATAATCATTAAATATGAAATGTCACCACTAATGAAAGAATTTTTCAAATGATCTGGAATATAAAAATAAAGATATTCAATTTTGGAACTTGGAAAAATAAAACAAGCAATAAATACATAACCCCATCAAAAAGTGTACAAGACACATGAACAGACAATTCTCAGGAGAAGATATAGAAGTATCCAACTAACATACAAAAACAATGCTAATCATCAGTGTAATTATTGGAGAAACAAAAATCAAAACTACTATGAGATACCATTTCACGCCAGTCAGAATGGCTATTATTAAAAAGTTAAAAAATAACAGGTGCTGGTGAGACTGCAGAGAAAAGAGAATGCTTATACGTATTTGGTGGGAGTGTAAATTAGTTCAGCTCTTTGGAAGGCAATTTGGGAGTTTCTTAAATAACGAAAATATAGAACTACTATTCCACCTATTAATCCTATTACTGAATATATACCTAATGGAACATAAATTATTCTACCAAGAAAATACACGGATCCATATGTTCATCACAGAACTATTCACAATAAGAAAGACATAGATTCAAGTTAGGTATCCAACAACTGTGGATTGTATAAAGAAAATGTGGTATATATGCATAATGGAATATTATGCAGCCAAAAAGAACAAAATCATGACCTTTGAAGCAACATTAATGCAGTATGAGGTCATTATTCTAAGTGGATTAGAATAATGCAGAAATTTTTTTTTAAATACCTCATCTTCTTACCTATGAGTGTAAGTTAAATGTTGGGTAAACATTGATATAATGACAGGAACAACAGACACTGGGGGCTACAAGATGAGAATAAAAGGGAAAATGTCAATGGTTGAAATCTGCTTATCAGATATGACACTCACTACCTAAGTAGCAGGTTCAGTCATACCCCAAACCTCAACATCATGTAATACACCTTTAAAAAATTTCTGCACATGTACCCCGACTCTAAAATAAAAGTTGAAAGTAACCTAAAAGAAAATAAAAACAGAACTGTGATCCAACCCAATCATCTCAATACTGAGTATATATTGAAAGCAAAATATTGTTTTACCTAAGAGACACATTCACATGTGTGTCCACTGCAACACTATTCGTAATAGGAAAGACATGGAATCAACCTAGGTAACCATCAATGGTAGATTGGATAAAGAAAATGTGGTATTTATACATCACAGAGTACTATGAAGCCATAAAGAATAAATTTATTTGCAGCAACATGGGTGGAGCTGGAGGCCAATATACTAAGCAAACTAACACAGAAACAGAAAACCAAATACTGCATGCTCTCACTTGTAAGTGGGAGCTAAACATGGGGTACACATGGATATAAAGTTTAGACATGAGAGACTATAAGCTTGGGAAGGGTTTGAAGTGGGCAAGGGTCAAAAATGTACCTATTGGGAGTTATGTTCACTATCTGGGTGACAGGTTCAGTCACATCCCAAACCTCAGCAACATGCAGTAAGACCTTTGTAACAAACATGCATATGTACTCCCTCGATCTAAAATAAAAGTTGAAAATAAAACACAAAACCAACAAATTTTTGATACTTATTTGTAGATAAACATATGATGTATCCTGGAGTAATTTCCATATGCTGTTGACAAAAATGTGTATTCTGCAGCTGTTGGGTGGAATGTTCTGTAAATGTCTATTAGATCTATTTTGTCTAGAGCAGTGATCCCAGACTTTTTGGCACCAGGGAGCCATTTCATGGGAGACATTTTTTACATGCACTGTGGGGCCAGATGGTTTTGAGATAAAACTGTTCCAATTCAGATCATCGGGCATTAGCTAGAGTCTCATAAGAAGCACACAACCTAGATCCCTTGCATACTCAGTTCATAAAAGTGTTCACGCTCCTATGAGAATCTAATGCTGCTGCTGATCTGATAGGAGGCAGAGCGTATGTGATAATGCTTCCTCACCCACTGCTCACTTTCTGCTGTGCAGCCCAGTTTCTAAAAGGCCATGGACCAGTACTGGTTCATGGCCTGGGGTTTGGGGACCTCTGGTCTAGAATAGAGTTTATATCTGATTTTTCGTTAATTTTGTGCCTAGATAATCATTCCATTGCTGAAAGTGAATGAAGCCCCCAACTATTATTATATTGCAGATTAACTCTTAATTTGTATCTAATATTTGCTTTCTATATTTTTGTGCTCCAGTTTGGGTGCACGTATGTTAACAAGTGTTATATCCTTTTGCTGAACCAACTTCTTTGTCATTATATAAAGATCTTCTTAGTCTCTTTTTACAGTTGTTGGTGAAAAGTGTATTTTACCAAAATATAGATACTTCTTCTCACTTTTGGTTCTGTTTGCATAGAATATTATTTTTGATCCCTTCATTTTCAGTCTATATGAGCTCTCATAAGAGATAGGAGTCTCTCATGGGCAGCATACGGGTGGTTTATATTTTTTTAAATCTATTTATTTATTCATCCACTTTATATTTTTAAATTGTAGAATTTAATTCATTTACATTTAAGGTTATCATTGGTTGCTAAGGACTAGCTTCGGCCATTTTCTTAACTTTTTTTGTATCCTTTGTCCCTTTCTTCACCTCTCATTGTTTACATTTGTCATTTGGAGATTTTTTATAGTGGTAAACTTTATATTCCTTCCCATTTCTTATATGTTTATGTGCTATAATTTGCTTTTAGTGGCTACCATGGGGCTTACATGAAAAGCTTACACTTGATCGGTGTACCTAAATATAACGGAGAGAGTGAATCCAAGCTGGAAAACACACTCCAGGATATTATCCAGGAGAACTTCCCAAGCCTAGCAAGGCACTCCAAATTTCAAATTCAAGGAATACAGAGAACTCCACAAAGATATTCCTCAAGAAGAGCAACCCCAAAGCACATAATTGTCAGATTCACCAGGGTTGAAATGAAGGAAAAAATGCTAAGGGCAGCCAGAGAGAAAGGTCGGGTCACCCACAGAGGGAAAAGCTTACAGTTGAGGAGGGATAACATGGGGAGAAATGCCAGATATAGGTGATGGGGGGATGGAGGCAGCATACCACATTGCCATGTACATACCCATGCAACAATTCTGCATGATCTGCACATGTACCACAGAACCTAAAGTGCAATATAAAAAATGAATTTTATTGATACACGGTATGACATGATAACCTCTGGAAACATTATGCTTAGTGAAAGAAATCAGTCACAAAAAGCCACATATTGTATTATTTCATATGTATGAGATATCCAGAATAGGCAAATTCATATTTCCTACAAACAGGAAGTAGATTAGTTGTTGCTGAGAGCTGGAGAGAGGAATGAGGAACAACTGTTAATGAGTGTGAAGTTTTTGAGGGGAATGATAAAAATGATCTAAAATTAATACGGGTGATAGTTGCGAACAGGCAATATACTAAAAATCACTCAATTGTATACATTTTAAGTGGGTAAGTAGCATGGCATGTGAATTCTCAATAAAGCTGTTTAGAAATTTTGAAAAAAGAACATTGAGAAATATATAATAATCATCCTTGTAAGAAAAATAAAACCGCTAGGAACAAAATTTCTGCATTTTTCTGAATTACAGAAGTAGAAGCACCCTTCTACTTTCATAATTTTATATTAGCATTACCTGGAGAAGGCTTGTGTCCAAATATACCATTGAAGAAAGCAGGCATTCGAATGCTACCACCAATATCAGAGCCCACACCGATCACTGAGCAGGCAGCTGCCAGTGTGCAGCCCTCACCACCTACAGGAAACACAAAACACTTGCAAATAAATCATCTAATATACTATTTGCATGGAAAATCTTTTTCCACCTTTTCACTTTCAAACTTGTTGTGTCTCTAGATCCAAAGTGAGTCTTTTGTTCACAGCATACATTTAGATAATAATTGTAATCTATTCTACTCATCTATATTATTTGAGAATACTAAGCCATTTACATTTTAAAGCAATTACTGATAAGTTTTACTCTGAGGATGTTTCTCACTTGGGTCTGTGTGTATGTCTGCTTTCTCTTAATTCTCATACATAGAAAAGAGCTCTTATTATTTTTTTTCATCAACTTTTAAGTTTTAGGGTACAGGTGCAGGATGTGCAGGTTTGCTACATAGGCATATGTGTGCCATAGTGGTTGGCAGCACAGATCAACACATCACCTAGATATTAAGCCCAGCACCCATTAGCGATTCTTCCTGATGCTCTCCTTTCCCTGACATCCCTACTGTAAGTTCTCCTTTCCCTAACATCCCTACCATGAGGCTTACATGAAAAGCTTACAGTTATAATACAAGCAAAGGAAACTGACTTCTGAGCACCTACTTCATGTGATCAAGGTCACATAGTAAAAGAAGTGTCAAATGTCTATGTAGCTTTAGCACCCAGAAGCTTAAACATATTTTGCTAACCCACATAAGCATTCATTCAGGTTTAATAAAACCTTTGTTAATTCTAGTCTCTATACGCTCTTTTTTCTAGTCTCTATACACTTTATTATGTTTCCCATCTATGTCACTTGTGGCTTATTCTCAATTCCCTTTGCTGGCTACTTCTTCTGTATCCATCTTCAAAATATCAGAGTTGACCAAGGCTCTTACATGACCCCCATTTCTTCTCCATCAACACACACATATACCGGGACTTTGTGTCCATTCTTATAGTTTATAGATGCTATACTGTATCATGTTAATTAATACAATTCATAATTATTATTGTTAGCACAGATGTTGATGTCGTACTAAAATGTCCAACTCACCAGAACTTCCACCTACAGTATGCTGTAAATCATATGGGTTGTTGGATCGGCCATAGATCTTGTTACTGGATTCATACCACATACACAACTCACTACAGTTGGTTATGCCAAGGGGAATCGCACCAGCTTCCTTCAGTAATGCTACCACAGCAGCATCTGTTTTGGAAATGGCATCACGACGGTTCATGAGTCCAGAAGAATTGGGCATTCCTAAAAGGATAGCAGAAAAGAATGTTTAAAAATTATTAAATGAAAATAACATTTTTCTCTAGATGTAACCAGAAGGAACATCTCTCAAAAAAAGTTGGGGCATTGGGAAGACTGGCACACTCCTAGAATATCTTCAGAGAGAAGGCAATGAGGGTGGATGGAGGCAATGAGGGTGGATGGATCCATTCACACAGATGCTGGGCTGAATAGGGAGGAAGTTAGGAACAATGCACAGGGCTACTGTTCACTGGGACTTGCTCCTCACTCCCAAAAACACCTGGGGAAAAGGTAAATCAAACAGTAAAGGAGCAACCCACTTTCACCATGGGCCTCTAGAATCATAGCAGGTAAAATACCCTTGACCACCATGGACACTTGGATTAGCAGGGAGAGCTGCTCAGAGACGTGGTACGGACAGAACTCGAGCTGGAGCAGAGTCTGGAAGACTTGATGCCAGAACATCTGAATGAACACAGCGAAGGTTGCTCATGCCCCTAGGCTAGACTGGCTCCCACAGGATACTATAGGCCTAGGAGAAGTGTCAGGCCTGAACTCTGCAGGGCCGTTTTGCCCATGAGACAGGGTCAGTCCAATCTGAGCACCCCACATTCTGCTGGCTTCTCCCAGGGCCCCAGCCTGGTCACGCCTGCTTGCAGTGCAGACCCTAGGTACCTCCTGGAGATCTGCATCATAGTTCCTGTGCTGGTAGACAAGATATGACCTGCAGAGTTCTGGAACAGAGCTGCCCCAGCAGACAATCCCAGCTAGTTTATACCTTTCCACTACGGCAGCCTCCCCGTGCCACTTTGCCAACATGCACTCACCCACAATGATCTCCAACATTGCTTTACTGGTGCTAGTTTGTGTGGGTGGACCTTATCTTTCCTTCTGTACCAGCACACATAATTGTGTGAACCCTTCCATGCCACTACAATTATGTGTGCTACCCCTTCCCCCTGCTGTGCAATCAATGTGTCGGATCATTGAATGCAGAAAGCATACCAGTGCTGCCCCCACCAGTGCCCCCTTTCTGTGCTGAAACAGCTGCCAGCAGAAACTAGGCATGGAAAAAGTGGACCAACTCACACCCCAAGCAGCCACTGCCATCTGCAGGTACATGCAGAGGGCCTACACAAATCTGTGCCAATCAGAGCACACCACCCTCATGATAACACCACCACCAGTGTGAATGTATGCACAGTTGCTGCCAGGAAGGCCTATCCCCCTAGTCATGCTGTTAATGCAACCAATTGCTGCAAACACCTGCATGACGGCCAGCCACTGCTGTGAATGACCACAAATGACAATGCTGTCAATACTGGCAATTGCTGTGAGTGCCCACATAAAGACCAGTGCCCTGGCAGCTGCTAGCACCCTGCTGCAGCTGACCAGCATAATCGCATATATACTGCAGTGGTAGTTGCAACTGGCACATAACAATAAGGGCAGATACTGCTGCCACTTACCTATGAAGTGCTTTGACTGGCACCATCCATTGAATTATTGTGACCAGTGGTCTGGCAACACCTTGGTCTTTCTAGTAGTCCAGGATCAACTCAGCCCTTCCAGAAGGTTCCTAACCTTTAGAAGCCAGAGAAGAAAGGGGGACCTGATACCAGTCCCCCAGAATTAGGGCATTGCAATCCAGGAGTACTGAGCTGAGCCTTAGCCACCTTAAATATTCCAGAAATGTAGCCAGTCAACTGAACCCACATTATGCCACAATCAAATCACCCAAGGTTATCAAATAGAATAAAAGGGGAAAAAATTTCATCCAAAAACCAGCAACTTTAAATATTAAAGAAACAACAGTCCCACAAAAATAAGAAATAATCAGCACAAGAACTCTGACAATTCAAAAAGCCAGAATGTCTTCTTTTCTCCAAACAACCACACTACTTCTCAAGCAAGGGTTCTTAACCAGGCGGAGATGGCTGAAATTACAAAAATACAATTCAGAATATAGATAGGAAGATCACTGAAATCTAGGAAAATGTTAAAACTCAATCTAAGGAAGCTAGGGGTAACACTAAAAAGATACAGGAGCTAAAAGGCAAAATAGTCAGTATAGAAAAGAATACAACTAACTTGATAGAGCAGAAAAACACACTACAAAATGAAATCACAAGGATTAGCAACAGAACGCCCAAGCTGAGAAATACATATTGAAGCTTGAAGAAAGGCTTTCTAAAATAAAAAAAAAAATTCAAACAAAAATAAAAAAGACTTTAAAAAATAAACAAAACCTCCATAAATTATGGGCTAACATCAAGGTACCAAATTTAGGACTTGTTGACATTCCGAAAAAGATAGGAAGAAAGAAGACAAATTAGAAAACATATTTAAGGATATCACCCATGAGAAGTTATCCAACCTAGCTAGAGAGGCCAATATTCAAATTCAGAAAATGCTGAGGACCCACACAAAATGCTTTGTGAGGTCATACCCACGGCACATAATTATCAGGTTTTCTGCAGTTGAAATGAAAGAAAAAAGTGTTAAAGGCTAGAGAGAAAAGGCAGGTCACTGAGAAAAGACCCAACAAACTAACAACAGACCTCTCAGCACAAATCCTACATGCCAGAAGAGATTAGGAACCTATATCTAACAATCCTTGAAAACGAAAATGTGTAACACAGAAAATAAGCAGAGGTTGCAATTATACTTTAAGTTCTGAGATACACATACAGAAGGTCAACGTTTGTTACATAGGTATGCATGAGCCATGGCGGTTTGCTGCACACATCAACCCATCATCTATATTAGGTATTTCTCCTAATGCTATTCCTTCCCTTGCTCCCCAACCCCCAACAGGCCCTGGTGTGTGATGCCCCCCCCCATGTAAATGTGTTCTCATTGCTCAACTTCGACTTAGGATGAGAACATGTGGTGTTTCTTTACCTGTCCTTGTGTTAGTTTGCTGAGAATGATGGCTTCCAGCTTCACCCATGTCCATGTGAAGGACATGAACTAATTTTTTGTGGCTGCGTAATATTCAATGGTGTATATGTGCCACATTTTCTTTATTCAGTCTATCAATGATAGACATTTGGGTTGGTTCCAAGTCTTTGCTATTGTGAACAGTGCTGCAATAAACATACGTGTGCATGTGTCTTTACAGTGAATGGTTTATAATCCTTTGGGCATATACCCAGTGGTGGGATTGCTGTGTCAAATTGTATTGTGGTTATAGATCCTTGAGGAATCGACACACTGACTTTCACAATAGATGAACTAAGTTACACTCCCACCAGCTGTGTATAACCGTTCATATTTCTCAACATCCTCTCCAGCCTCTGTTGTTTCCTGACATTTTAATGATTGCCATTCTAACTGGCATGAGCTGATATCTCACTGTGGATTTGATTTGCATTTCTCTAATAATCACGTGATGATGAGCTTTTTTCATATGCCTGCTGTCCATATAAATATCTTCTTTTGAGAAATGTCTGTTCATATCCTTCACCCACTTTGTGATAGAGTTGTTTTTTTCACGTAAATATTTAAAGTTCTTTATAGATTCTGCACATTAGCCTTTTGTCAGATGGACAGATTGCAAAATTTTTCTCCCATTCAGTAGCTTGCCTGTACATTCTGATGATGGTTTCTTTTGATGCACAGAAGCTCCTTATATTAATTAGATTCCATTTGTCAATTTTGGCTTTTGTTGCCATTGCTTTTGGTGTTTTAGTCATGAAGTCTTTCCCCATGCCTATGTCCTAAATGATATTGCCTAGGTTTTCTTCCAGGGATTTTATGGCCTTGGGTCTTACATTTAAATATTTAATCCATCTTGAGTTAATTTTTTTATGAGGTATAAGGAAAAGGTCCAGTTTCAGTTTTCTGCATATGGCTAGCCAGTTTTCTCAAAACCGTTTATTAAACAAGGAATATTTTCCTCATGGCTTGTTTTTGTCAGATTTGTCAAAAATCATATGGTTGCAGATGTGGGACATTCTTTCTTAGGCCTCTGTTCTGTTCCATTGGTCTGTATCTCTGTTTTGGTACCAGTGCCATGCTGTTTTGGTTACTGTAACCTTGTAGTATAGTTTGAAATTAAATAGCATGATGCATCCAGCATTGTTCTTTTTACTTAGGATTGTCTATGCTATTCGGAATCTTTTCTGGTGCATATGAAATTTAAAGTAGTTTTTTTTTTCTAATTCTGTGAAGAAAGTCAATGGTAACTTGATGGGGATTGCATTGAATCTATAAATTATTTTGGGCAGTCTGACCATTTTCACAATATCTATTCTTCCTATCCATAAGCATGGAATGTTTTTCCATTTTGTTGTTTCCTCTTTTACTTTTTTGAGCAGTGGTTTGTAATTCTGCTTGAAGACGTCCTTCACATCCCTTGTTAGTTGTATTACTAGGTATTTTATTCTCTTTGTAGCAGTTGTGAATGGGAGTTTGTTCATGATTTGGCTCTCTGTTGATTATTGGTGTATAGAAATGCTTGTGATTTTTGCACATTGATTTTCTATCCTAAAGCATTGCTGAAGTTGCTTATCAGCTTAAGGATAATTTGAGCTGAGATAATGGGGTTTTTAAAATACACAATCATGTCACCTGCAAACAGACAATTTGACTTCCTCTTTTCCAATGTGAATACCCTTTATTTGTTTCTCTTGCCTGATTGCCCCAGCCAGATGTTTCAATAATATGTTGAGTAGAAGTGGTGAGAGAGGGCATTCTTGTCTTGTGCCAGTTTTCAAAGGAATATTTAAAGATTTTTCCCATTCAGAATGATATTGGCTATGGGTTTGCATAAATAGCTCTTATCATTTTGAGTTATGCTTCATCAATACTTAGTCTATAGAGAGTTTTTAGCATGAAACTGTGTTGGATATTATCGAAGGACTTTTCTCCATCTATTAAGATAAACATGTGGTTCTTGTAATTGGTTCTGTTTATGTGATGGTTTAGGTTTACTGATTTGCATATATTGAACCAGTCGTGCATGCCAGGGATGAAGCTGATTTGATTATGCAGAATAA